CGGAATATGTCCAGACTGTGTAGAGACCCAATGTCCAGGTTGGCAATTTAATTTGCCACATGAAGACATGCCTGCTGATAGTAACGTTTGACGAATATGCAATCAGTGATCTTCAACGGTGTTTGGTGGGCGCTTTCTTAGCCCGGATACCAGCGTACTTTGATACGCATTCAGAACATCTGATTTCGCCAGTTGCCTGATGTCTGTACTGTCACAGTGACGTTGCGGACGTCCGCCGAAACGCACTCGAAAGTCGGCACATACAAGAGCATGATCGGAGTCCACGCTCGTGCTCCAAATCGAGCGACAGTTTTGTTCGCAGCCTCCAGCGGTAACTGATCGCGATCTGCGTCCATGGCTGGTCCGAGGTTAGTGGGCTCCAGGTCACTTCTGCGGGTGCTGTGCCGAAAGTTAGTGCTCGAGAGGAAGAGGCGACCATCTTCACACAGGTGTAGCAACGGCTCACATTTATCATTACGGGCGTTTATAACATGTTAGCTGCCCAGATCAAGCTTATCAGAGGACAATTTTCCGACCTGGGCGTTTAGATCACCAGCAAGTACCACAGTATTCGCACTTCTTTTTTAACGAAGAGTATATTTAAATTGGTGATAGAAATTACCTTTCACCGAATCAGTGCTGCAGTTTGTGGGGGTGTGGATTGAGCCAGCGAATCTAACGGCATACATCCGGCTGTTGACTGCGATCCAATCGATCAGAGAAGCTCCAGCCCTGGGACTTAAAACAGTGCCGACACCGGCTTGACCGACATTTGAAGCTGCATCAACTCCAGGCAGACCCAATCCGGGTGGTGCCAGGGTACGCAATGACACAGTATCTTCTTTTCTACCCAAGAATAGAATGTGGGCATACTGGGGATTGAAATCCAATAGTTCAACTTCCCGCACTAGAATCTCGTATTTTGAAACAATGTAGGAACACGGGTCCTGGCGCACTCAGCCAACTCGATAGCGAGATTCATGATGTTGATATACGGCTATAGGAGAGGAGTCTGTCATGCGGAGTGGCGTTTATAGCGGTGCAGAGAATGGAACGAATATAGTGCAAAGCACCCAGCAGTGCAATTTCCCATTGAGTAATTTCGAGATCTCTGGATCTATATGAAAGGGTAATGGGTTTCCAGATGACCCCACGAATGTGTTCCACCTGTCTATTATCCCTTACGTTTTTGAGTTAGGAAATGATCTACGTCGTGAGACATGAACGACGATCCGAATAAATATAGTGGCATGCCGAAAACTGCAGACAGTTAATCACAATTGATGCGGTCGTGTCGCTACACGCGAAGGCAAACTGGAAGCGGAAGTATTCGTCAAAGACAGTGAACAGGTATTACTTGTTTGTTGCCGACGGCAAAGGTCCCTTAAAATACATGTTTAATCTTTCGAAGGGGTGCGTTTCGGACGTTTTGTAATATCGGTGTTTCAGCTCAGCGAAAATACTGCTTTCATCTCCCGTGAATAAACCAGATGAAACATCCGGGATAGAACAGGGTATCGTGTAATTCCTGGACTTTCATGACGTACGATTGTGATGAGCCACAGTGCGTGATAAAGCATCTGCAGCCTCATTATCGCTTCCGTTACGGTCAACCAAATCATAATTATAACGTGAGAGTACAACGCGCGGACGCTGAATTTTATGCTTTTTGACCTTCGCTTCTGATTGAGATTAAAGATGAATGACATCGCTGATCAGCAGTAATGGTGAAGCGATTGCCTATTAGGTAATGCCACGATTTACGGACCGACTCAACGATGGTGTGTGCGTACTTCTCGGCAGAAGAATGGCGTCGTTCACTGGTAGACAGCGTTCGTGAAAGGAAAGCAACTGATCGTCCATTCTGGGTAAATTTGATGACAATAGCAACATCAGATGCATCCGTATCATTTACAAAGGGTATGGAATCATCAACACAAACGTTCACAGGGATTTCTTACTTGATATTTTCTAATGCCCTCGAAACCAGCTTGGGGAGGAGGAAGCATTGATTACCGATTATCGGGCGGGTTTTGTCAGAGAAATGTGAGATCCATTGGTGATAATATGCAAACTGTCCCACAACACGCTGTTAAGATTTTAGTTCAATGGGTACGGGCAGGTATCTCGGAGGTAAGTCGGTCGGGGTCTGATCGAATAACCTCGTGTGAAACATGTACTCCAATAGCCATATCTTCCCTAACATATTGTGCTTTTGCTTTCGTTGGAGGTTAGGTTTTGTTTCGAGCGCCTTCGTAAAGTTTTATTAGATTGCAGTTATACTCTTCCTCGATTCCGCCGCACACCGTAATGTCAGTGTTGGTGAATGTCGAATTCCCGTCGGTTATTACTTTATCCTTTGGAAACAGGCGACCATGTTGGTTGCACCAAAAGGCATACGACAGAGCTGGAAATGATTTCCACAGGCTTCAAATGCGGCGAATTTTCTTTCGGTTGCCTTAATAGGAATCTAATTATATGCGCTTTTAAGGCCTAAAGTTCTGTACACCGAGTAAAGTGGAATTTGGTCAATAAGGGCGTCAACTAGGCAGAGGATGCTCATCTGGATGAGTGTACTGATCGTTTTCCTGTAAGCGACAACCGTACGGCGTTTATGCGTCTCATTCGTAGTTACTAAAACTCGAGCTCGCCACAGGGACACTGATGGTTCTATGATTCTGCCCGTAAGTAGCTATTTTATTTCTTCAAAAATAGGCCTCTCGTCCGCAGCAGAGTGACGCCTCGATTTGGTGGCGATCGGATTAAGTTCTATCCTACTACATCTTCCGCCAATCGGCTGCAAAGATCACCTTGTATGCTGCAAGAGGGACTGGCGGGAAACGGATTGCTGCTGATGTTTCTGTTAGTAGTTTTACCTACTCTTTCCCATCCCCACGGACCTAATCTTACAGGACTACACCGGCAATGCCGTAGACTTTTGTCTTCTGCATTTGTGCTGCCACTGCACCCAATACTTACTTACTACTAATGATCGTTCATCACGTCGCACACACGAAATGTGTAGTCCAAACAGAGGGACATTAGGATTACTGGTCGTCGAAATGTAGAGTCTTGGTAGTACACATCTTGTGGACGGTTGATTAAGCTTTTGAGCCAAAGATTTCCGTCAAGAACTTACGTTCTGCTTCGATATGGGAGCGCTTCGCTTACCTCGTGCTACGTACAACTGCGGCTATTTTATTAGAATTCATTTTCATTCTACATCAGCCATCGCATAGTTCCATGCTGCTCTCGCGACGTGACTGAACCTTAACGCGGTGCGATTGTTAGCGTGTCTCAGCGATCCATTGGGCTATGCTGGGTGGTGATTATGGACATTCAGAGCCAGTCATACCAGATTGGTCAATGGTTAGAGGCCAGACAAACTCAGCCTCCTGGTTCTCCAGGTTGGGGGTTGGAATGAGCGTGGCTCCTTACTCCATGAACCGGGATCCCTGTAGTCCAGTTTCAAAACCCCGCTGCCTTGCGGTAACTTTTTTGAATCAAGGACTTTGGTTGAGAACCCTAATCGTTCTCCTGTCTAGTTCTGGGCAATCTGACCGTATCTTGCCCACGCAATACAACACAATGACTTCAAAGCTGAATTTGGAATACCCGCTGTGCGGTTGGATTGCGACACTCAATCTCTATTCAGACCTCGATCATTACGATTACAAGGACCGTATCGGAACTGGAAGTGGTTCGGTGTTGCTCCTCCCAACCCTGACACCTCATAACCGGTTTCGTCCTGCTTTGGACTCATCAGATGGAGATAGTCTGGGCGGGCGTGGAACTCGGGGCTTAGTGGTTACAGGCTGACGCCTTGATTACTATGGCAACGCTTAGCACAGCCCGCTGTTAAATTTCCTTCTTAATTTCGATGTTGACGGAATTCCGGAAATTACGTCTACTAGACACTGTTAAGATGGAGTGGAGTTACTCCCTGGTGAACAACTTATTGACTTTACAGGCGATAGAGCCTTCATCTGTGATGCTTCACGAACGCACTGTCAGTTGTTTCGGACTGTGCATTGTACCCTCCAAATGCAAGCTTTCCTCCATACGCTGACCGCTTATAGGGATAAGCTAGAAATCAATGATAAAATGTACTAGTTGACAGAGTTAGCAAAAGCTTGAGGTGCTTTTACCTCAGTTCCTTATTTATTGCATAAGTGCGAAATCACTTTCACTCTGAAAGGTAGAAGTTCACAATGCAGCTGTCAGCTCAACCTTACTGTACGGTTGTGAAATCGGACCCATCGGATCGATGGACGTAAAGAGCTTGTTACGTTCAACCACCGATAGCTTCGCAGTTTAGCCAACATCTTGTGCTTACCGCGTGAGCAATGAGCGTGTTCGATTTCTTGTTTATGGCATCGTTATTTCACGCACCAGGCCTCCGATGGCTGGGTCATGTATTGCGGCGCATCTCGATCTTGTACTCCATCGGTCACCGATTCGAATCTGCATAGATGTGGGCGACCCTCGCGGTATCCATAGCGCGCGACTGGTGGTGGTCACGTCGCAACGAAATGTCGGGGTGGCACACCGCGGTACTGCTGATACCTGCTTTGTCATGTCATCATACCGACTCCCGCGACGTTGTTTATGCGACCTGCGTGTGGATGGAAGAAGAGAGGAGTCCAACCGATAGCTTCGTCAAGTGGAATGAATGACTCCAATTCGAAGTTGGCCTCGGCTTGAGCCTCTCAATTGCCTGTTGGGAGTCCGAAGAATGTGTCTGTTTGGATACAATTATTGATGTGGCCAGGAATCCACCTCAGTGGCGTTTGTGCTCTCCTCTCCAAGCACGATATCGACGTCATTGCATATAATAAAACAAAACGTTTTTGTGCCTATTTTTTACCACCATCTAATTGTTTTACGACACAATAGCTGGGGTTTCTCACCCATAGCTAATGTGTAGAGTATGATTATGCAATACGGCGAGCGTGTCTACAATAACTTGCTTTTCATTTACAAGTTATCTTATCATTCTAGCTGGATCCATACACTCAGGTTCTTCAACAATGTTCAACCAACAGTCGATATCCAGACCTCGAAAACAGCGGTTCCCCGGCATGGACCGACGACGTGTGACCGGCTCATCGTATACTAGGGCCGATCCAATCGACGAAGATTCTGTCTCTTCAGAAGATGTTACATCGCACTGTGACGTCAAACGCACTCGTTTCGGCTCGATATCAGCGCATAGACCCTACCAACCAGCTAAGCATTCCCACTCAGGAATTCAATCGAGAAACATCAATCAGCCTGGCATCCGGGTGGACAAACGAGCCCGTGATGAACACAACGAGCAGGAGCGAAGCAGACGTCGGGAACTGGCCGTAATCTATGAATTGATCCGCTGCAGTTTTTCTGAGGATGACTTGCGCCATCTTGAACCTTTTAACGGACCCAAGTCAGTTGACAAACTGTCATATCCTCAGGTGTTACATGTGGCTCATCACCTATTGAAAGAAGAACAGCACAATTTGATATTGCTTGAGCGCAGCCTGAACGACATCAAACGATTGGAAAAAGAATTTGTAAACATTGGTTTTTCAGTTCCCGAGCGGCCTATATTTCCTTCTGTTATGGACAACTATCGTACAGTTATTCAGTTCGTTGACGATTTGCTCAAACAGGATAAGAGGTGAGAAATTTCAGCTACCTTAGCACTTATATTTCAGTAATTTCTGCGCATTTGCTCAGTCACTTTATTTTTCTGCCCGAATGTTTCACTAGCTCCATCGCATTCTTACATAGATGGACAGAACACCAATTTGTCTGCAACCCAGCGTTTTTAGGGTACGGCATCTTCCACACGCAGCTCAATGAAAATTCATGGCGAGTGTTATATGACGATCTTGTTGGGGGAAGTGGCGATTGGTTTTTTTATTTAGATGATTACACTAACAATATCAGCAGTCGGTTTTTGTCTAGGAGCATCTCAGTTGTCTTTGTTGTATCGCCACTGCGTTGATGTGAACCAGTTTCCCTCAAATTGAGAAACTCTATACCATCTAGCTCAGCGCCATCAAATGTACCTCTTATTCTAGTTGTCAACACAGCTTCATACTGTTTAGTTGCTATAATCCTGATAGCACTTTCTTGCGTTGTCACCTCCATTCACATTGCACGTAACAAGGTAAAGGTTACGGTAGAGTTACCCGTGGCTTGGTTCCATCGATTACAGTGCGCTATTAACTAAACGGAGGAGGTATGTATGCACACATGTTGCGTGACCGCAACCAGAGAACCTAGCTGTTTTTCTGAGTAGCTGGCTTATGATATACTTGCAATGATTGAGGCCAGGCCACGGTGTTGTCAGCATAAGGGAACGAGTTTGAGAGTTGCTGATTTTTTGTGTACGTACTGATGTGACTGCTCCTGTGGGATGTTGCGTGCGCCAATCCGGTCATTTTATGGATTTATGTTCTTGTTACGTTAACGCGATGAGAATCGCCCTTGAAGCAGTGCGACAGCTTGTTTCCCCATTATATCCGCTGAGCTGTACCGGGTGGTGCCTCTTGGCTCCTTAGTAACTGCCCTTGTCGAATTATCCAGTAGTTGGAGGTCAAGCGAACTCTGTTTCCTCTCCCCTTCGGGTTCATGATTGGAAATGGAGTAAGACTCATTTCTACAAAATAGGATCATTGCGATATTGTCGCTGCCAAATGTTGGCACGCTGGCTGCATCCAAGCCCACACAAAACTACTAAGTTATCGTCAACCTTCGACTGTTAGGCGTCGATCACTTTCAGAAGAGTCCCCGACTCTTCTGCCTGCAACAAAGCGGACAGGAGAAAAGATACCACTGTTAACACTACTTCGTTTCTTTAAAACCCTTCCTTTCGTAATCCCCAGCATGATTGACGGCGATTGCAGTACTATTACAGTTCTGCCATTTGCAGCTCTATTTACACACTGCATGCGCCTATCAGGCCGTGATGCTGGGTGCCTCTGGCGGCACTCAACGCTGACAGCCTGGAACATGCTACACGCACATCGAGCAACATGAGGATCCGAACCTGTGATCGGATGACAAAGTAAGCGCGTAATTCTCCCGGCCACCGCCCTGGGTAAAGGACAAAGGAAAATAGAGGATCAATATTTCTGTTGCTGCCAGTATAAGGCTGGAACTGTCATGACAGGACCAAAGTGTACGACTGTCCTGGTTGTGTATTACCATCACAATCTGTTCACCTTAGTTGGTTGGGACGTTGTTTCCACCATGGCTATTCCAACAAGTGAATCAGCGTTTCGCAGAGAACCTCGCCAACATCACCACTAAACGCTGAGGTCGCGATAGATTAAGAGCCGGCTAAAGTCTGTGGTTCGAGGCCAAGTTCTTTTGAATTCGCAGTGCTAGTCATACACACATTCAAGCTGTACTCCGCTTTGAGCAAAGAAAAGGTATCAACAGTACCGACGGTTCACTGCCGCACAACCACTAACAATCACACGTGGGCTACGAAAGACGCAGGCTCGAACCCGCCTCCTCCAATTACAAGACAGGCTTGTGATTCTTTAGGCCACGGATCGGCTTTTGAGTAAAAATCTGTCTATTTTGGTTTTTCAACTAATCGTACATGCGTTTGGATGTAGATTTGCCTGTCCCAGCCCTTGCACGTCCCGACCCAGGTTTGGATGCCTAGATAGCAGTTTCAAAGTCTCTGTAGGACTGCTTGTGGTCTAACGATAGTTAGTCTTCGATAGAAAGTGCCGGTGCGCACCGTTGACACTTTTATTTCCTGACTTGCTCAATATTTTCTAGGCATCTGGTAGTGAGGAAATATCTGCAACGCAGTTTTCCCGCTTTGCATCAAACAGTGAAACAATTCACTTTACAACCCTGTCCACGATTACTTGTGCTGTCCAATTCTACTCACGTGTCATCTTGTTTTAGTGCCCGGACTTTGGATGGAGTGTACGAAGTGAGCCCCGCACAGCGTGCTGCATTGGGCAACCGGCAGCTTCAACTGCTGAGGCTTCGCCCACTTGCGCAAAGCAATACTCATCTCGACTGGCCCGAGACTTACCACCGGGACAATGCGCAAGGCCTGAAACCTTTGACGCGTACGGAATACCAGTGCCATCGTCCCCGGTCCAATGAGTTACCAACGGTCAGTTTAGAAAAAGAGGGGTACACGTCCGTGTGGAGCCGTGTCAGTGGGAAGTTGAAGCGACCTTCAACCCAATTCAGGCATGCAGATTCTCGCTACCACATCCAAGCGGGGCGCTTTACTTGCAGTTCGTCGCGCGACGATTTTCCGGCCGTAATCCCGTACAGCGTAGATGATTCATGTTATCGATCGGACGCAGATGAAGACACTGACTTGATGCTTGATTTGATGTGACCTATTTTTGTATACACCTTGCATTTCTCCTTCCTTTACAGCGCATTCTGCCTTGTATCCCGTTTTCGTGTTTGATCACCACTATTATCACACTAATGCTTACTTCCGACTCACATACAATCACGTTTGATCCTCGCGTACTATTTTTGTAAGCTCCTTTTACCTGATGCCTTCGATTCTTTCCAACGCACCGGACGCTGCTCCCTTTGTACATAACCCGGCTTGAGTTTTCAGTTGCGATTTTTTATCCTACTCGCTTGATATAGTGTCTGCGCTTCTTTGCACTGTAAACCCGGCTTTGTACTCCCATTTCAAACATCACACTATTGGATAATTTCTTATCTTTTTCCCCATCGGTTTTTATCTAACTAAGTGTATCTCATTGATACGCACTACCGACGCGTTGCTGCCACGCAACTACCACCAGTCGCGCATGGGCTAAAGATACAACGAGGGTCGCCCGGTCCTTTATACTGGCTCGAACCTGTGACGTCCGGAGAGCATGTTTGTCAGAACCTAATTTCGGTTGCATCCATGGACATAGACACTGTGGCTTGTCTTGCAGCCAAACCTCACACCAAAAGAACTGCATTAAATGCACCGGCACTGCCGTTGTCATAGCGATTATGATGGATGATCCCGTCGTCACAAAGCATGGGAATGTTCACTTACGACGGCTGATAGTCTCGCTTCTGCTGCCTAGGATCCATGTGGCATAGCAGTTGGTGTTGAATAAACTGTAATGGATTTGCACAAACTTGGAAGTTACGCCTGACCTGAGCACGGTCCTTATTCACGCACATTTTCGAGTAACGCGCCGATACCTCGAAAATAGACAACGATAGGCTCACGACCGGGAGACTATACCGTTTTACAGGCATGTTAGCGCATTGTACCACGTCTTTAGCGTGGCATGTTTTCGAAATCGCGTGCTGTGCATTCAAGTTAGCGAAGCTAAGAACGCTGTTTTGGTGTCGTTGACATTCTCATTGGTCATGGGACGTTAGTCAATGGGACACCGGTTGGAAGCCCCGAGCATAAAGGACAGACAGTCCAAGAAAAGTGATCGAGCACCACCTGTGCTGACCTTATGCGCGTCTAAAGAAAAACCCCGATGATTTCTCTCCAAGCTGAAATCATTCAGTGGGTAAATTGTGATTCCTGTCTAAGAAGGTCCTAGCTACCATATGATCCGAAGCTTACGCCGTAAACAGTGCGGATAGACATACAAACCACCATATGAAGCGGCCTATACTTATTGACCGCAAACTGCTACCTGGTGGTGGCTTATTTCAGCAGCCTAACCATGGTTACGATGGTGGCGTAGACAAGCGTTCTTCTAACTGGTATTCCGCAGTCCATTAGGTCTGAGGGAGTCAGGCAGGCGCCGTGGCTAGGACAATGCACACCCTAAACTGAATCAGCAATGGCTGCTAGGCGGTTGGACAATTTTGTGCGATTGTTATTGCGACGGTCATGGGGGACATTGTTCCCATTGAAGTAGGTAGACCAACCTGAAGCTGAATAACGAATATTCTATGGGTGCTTACTTCTATCATAGTTGATGACTAAACACAAACTAAGATGATTCCATGTGCGGCGGTGACATGACATTAGTGAGTGTTCGTTTCTCTCCACACCCATGGGCGACTTTGTTAGTCATTTATCGCTTCAGTGTCAATTGGTATGGTGTTATTTAAAGGTCATAGGAAGGAGGCGGAACCTAAGTATTCATACGATAATTAGGCTTTACTTCCATATGGTCGCCCATATGTGTTGAGATGCTTTGACAAGTGGCTCTCCAAATGGTACCATTACAAGCATAGTCAATGCAGATGGAATCTCCCTATTATGTCAATGGACTGAAACGCTATTCTCATGGAATCAGCATTACTCAACAAAGAAATACCTAAAGGGGCTACAAAGACTATCGTATTTATAAATGCCACATAGTCCTGCTAGAAAAAACGCAAAGGCCGATAATTAGTGGCGGCGCACGCATTTTACTCTGGTAATTCTGGTGAGTACTTGTAACAGACAAGCACTGTTGTCGTACCAACGGACGTTCAGCATGTTTGCAATCATTTAGAAAGGCAACCGCGCCCAGTAACCCTGATATGGACCAATGTTTCAGCCAGTCTTAGAAGCAGTCATGTGTGCACGCCGTGACACATTGTTGTCGACTTGGCAACTACTCGGAAACATTTTGTCATTGGAAAGTAGGTAACTCCGGAAGCATTGCTGGAGGAGGAAAATTGTTCCAAACCTTATGCTTACAATGCGTATGCAGTGCTTGTTGGCGTGTCATATCAGGGCCCTAGGGTCACCTGGTATTTCAATCTTACCAATCACATGGAAGTGAAGCGCAAATATCATGTTGAAACGCAGGGTTGACATGTATATTACGACCTTTAAATAACGGCACATCCATGGGCAGTGAAGCCGTAACTGATTACCAAAGTGGAGACAAACGAACACTCACTAACGTCGTGTAACCGCCACACTAGGAACCCTCCTAGTTGGAACAATGGTTACAGATCCAGTGATGCTCTTACCTACCCAGCGAACTTGACCCTTAGTATACAATGCGCCGACTACATCAGCAGTACGGAAGTACACTATTCACATGAGTGTACGCCCAATTGAAACACAGCACGGGAACTTTGTAGCTGTAAAGGCTTTAAAATTTCCATTTGCGAACAACTAGCTATACCTCCTACATACGAAGTACTGTATTGTTTCTGATTACCTCACACTGCCTTAACAATCACATGCATTTCCTAAACGAAATCACACACCTATCGATTCTCTAGATTGCGATTGTGATCAACAGATAGGCGACTGAGCCAATCGTACAGCGAACCCGCAAGCCTGCTACTAGCCTACAGGTAGTTTTAAACAAGATGACAATCGTTCCAAAATGTGCTCTCGTTTAAAACTATCGGCACATTCCGTGCGGCACCAATGCTCGCCTGAAGGAAAGCCGAGGCGTTCTCTCTGAAGTCAAACCGTCCAATCGACATGACTGCTGCGGACTCAGCTAGGGTTTCCCAAAAACCCTTTTGGTTTAACTACACGGCGGTCTAAGTTCCTGTATCTACTCAGCATCCGTCCTCGGCATACTCGTCGTACCGACAATAGAAGATTGAATTCAAAAATGGCAATCGAATTTGCACAAATGATGACAAACGGCGGTGGAACGCTAAGTGAAATGCGATTGAGAATAAAAGAATCAAATGGAAATAAGCACAGATGAAATTAAATCAATACTCGAAAGAGCAAAGATGTTCACATGGTCTTCAAATGCAGACAAGTAGTACACGTACTGGGGGTGGGGGGTGGAGGAGAGTGTGATCCATCACATAACAGGGACGGTGGCAGTGGTGTTTGTCGGATAACAGTTGACGAGTTGCATCGTGTTGATTGTAGCTTCCACGGGTTGCCACAGTAGGGAACACTTCATCTGAAAGCTGTGGGAAAGTGTATAGAAATGAGCGGCAATCACAATGAGATTGGCCTCAGGAACCTTGGATGTTAAAACACAAACAAGGCTTTAGTGAGTACCAATCAGCGCATGAGAAGTCAAAAAAGTCATCAGCGATACACTGGCACATTGTACCGACGCTTCCCTGTCACGCATCCACACCGGTTTCGCGTGGACTGAGTATACCGCGAATGCACCCGTCCCTACGCAGAGACGAACCGGTGACCTAAGGATTGCAAGCCAGATGTGCAGTCCTTTCGGCCACCGGCCAACAGTCAGCTCATGCGAACACTGAAAGTCATTTGAGATAGATTTTTGCTGTTTCGCATCCCCAGTCAAGCTAACTACGTAGGAGTAACATCGCTAGCTTCAGATTTACGAACGGAACAATCCACATCTGGGACGCTGCGAAGATGTACTGACCCAACCCTCAGCGTTACCAGCTCTCTAAATTTAAAAGCTTCACCCACTGAGATCCATGCAAGCCGATGGGCTCGTGCGTGTGCCGAGTAGCAATCGAAGTACTTCAAACGGAATCCGTTAAACCGGGCATCTTATTCATGATCAGGCAACGTCATCGAGCATCTGGGACGCATACCATTATGAAAAGATGCAGCTTTGGTTGAACGGAGCAGCCTGGCCTGTCCGTCGGGAACAATTTCTTCTTCAGAATTCCGAGTAAATAAACGCGCCAACAGATGCACATACCTGACTGTTGTCAGTCTGTGGTTAAGACCACTGAGCTACGAGGGACGGTAACGACCAAGGTGACTGTTACTAGATGTGATGTGGTGCCGCTCACTATCCACTCACTTGCACGTTATTGTCGTGCAGAGGACAGGGCGTGTGACGGCTGTCTGATTGAGTCTATATGTGATGAGCATCTGCCCATACTCTTCATATCCCCTTGCAATCAGTACGCAGATCAAACTGCTTCTAATGCCATAAGCTAATCGGCTGCTCAAGTCTTGTAAGTGCGTCGCTCGATGTGGGGGAGGGGGTTACCCTGTCTTTTGCACGGAGGCTAGCCCCGAAGCAATCACGACTCCCTTCCATAGTCGCCTGATCCCTTCACTTCACATTAGCATAAGTACAGCAAATGCCACCCATAGTCCTTGTGCGACCGCAGGTCTACTCTGTGGCAGTTCGTGATCACAATGAAAGGTAGGCCCAGAAATGGACAAACAGGTGATTGGAGCGTCACAATGCTCGGTAGTGAAAGTTCGCAGTTGCAAGGCAAATGACGCCACTTGTGCGCAGCCCGTTCTTATTGCTTTGTTTGGTCAAGGGAGCGTGATCGGTGATTTGGTAGAAAGTACGGAAACGAGCGCAGATGGACAGGTGTCGGACGCTGTCTCAGTCTTTGTCAGTCAATGTTTATGCGCCAAACTCAACGCATATCCGAATCACGTGGATAGTGCCCCGCGCAAGCGCATTGGCTGAGGTGTCGATCACGGGACATCGGCAGATGCCTTATGTTGGTCGGACTTGCAAAACGGTTGCGGTCATTAGATGCAAGAGAGAAAATCAGGTAACGTGATCTTAGACGGAGCGTGTTTGCACGCCTCGCAGTAGCGCACGTCCCGGATGCAGGCTTAGCGCTGCTGTGTCGCGTGCAGTACTACAGGACCGCGACATCACACACATTGACGATTGAAACAGTAATGGAGACAGTATCCAATAACAAGGAGAGCAGAGACCTTAACAGTAGTAAAAGTATGGCGACAACATGGGAAACGGAGTTTGAAGTATGCACACATACGAAAGCTCACCTGAAAGAGATGTAGATCTCGTGGATATATGGGGAGGGCATTTTGCAGATTATACTGCGAAACAAGAAAGAAATATTTGAAAACTAGCTGTATGAATGCACAGAGGTTGGGAAACAGAGTGATATAGCAGAAAACGTGATTCCACATGTACACAGTGAAAACATGATGGGAATAAAGTATGTAATGCATACACTGAAGTGAAACTGGTTTGTTCGCCCACATCCCTGCTCTCTTGAATGTAACACATTGGGGGGAAATGGCATTTGTTAACTTCACGGTTTAATGTGTCGAAAAGCTGACACAAAACAAAGCTTCGAGAAACGATCGTCGAGTGGAACAGTATAGATAAAAAAGAAGAACGGTGATACAATAAAACAGAGATACCACCGGGCCCTAACCATTCCTCATGGTTTCTACAAACGCGTCCAACCTGGAGCCATAACACACGATCATGTGTTAGAATTCGGAAAGCATTCATCTCCATTGCAGGAGGAACTGGTTAGAACAACAGGTACCGGTTGAACAACGGAGAACGTTTCCAAAAGTATTAATGCCATATTGTCTGTGACATTGACCGATCTGTAGTAATGTGCGAACATTGAGGCATGCCAATCTGAAGGAGGATCGAGGGCCCCAAATGGAAGCCGATGAACTGGAATGGGCCGCTTGCTCGAACATGGGCCTGATGACAGGGCAGGAATGACGGTCCGCTTTCACATGTGAGTTGAAACTAAAACACAAGCGACTATTGAAGCAAGGTGGGGGAGGGCCGAGAATGGGGGGGGGTTAAAAACAGGGGGATAAAAGTGAAGCTGGAACGGGACGATAAGGGTGAAAAAGCGTAAGAGGGGGAATAAGAAGACGGGAAGGCTTAAGCAGTAGCATCCAATCCCCTATCCACCCTGCCCGATGCAGCAGATAGGGCACCGTTGATTATCCTCTGCGGTGGCCAGAGCATCAGAAATTTGTTTGGAGTGAGATTCATTGTATTGTGGTATGCCTAATCACCAACATGGACATTGGGTCTCTTCACAGTCTCTGAAACTTATCGATGCTCGCCGGCATATTCCGGCTAGAAGCGAACACAATGAAACTCGCAAAGAGCTCCGGGCAAAATTCTGTGCTAGGCTGAAGAGAGACCGCGAATCCTGGTGGTCGCATCGTGCATCAGAGACGGAAATGGCCGTTGCTCTTGGTAACCATCGTAAGTTATTCCGTCTGATACGGGAAACGGGCAGCGGGAGACCTGGTATTAGTGAAACTATACGTGACGAGAGTAAACAGCCTATACACAAATTATAAAAACGCTTAGAGCGTTGGGATGAACACTTTAAAATGCAATTTAATCGGTCGGAATTGTTAGATTTCTCGCCCCGCTCCCTGGGCTGTCCCTTTGGATCTACCCTCTCGCTCAGAAGTCCAACGTGAGATCGAACTGTTGAAGTTAAATAAAGTCGCGGGACTTGAAGATCTTCCTCCAGCCCTCTTCAAATTCGGGGGATCTGCTCTTGTGGACGATTTACACGAATTACTAGTGAAACTGCGGGAGCAGGAAACTGTCCTAACAGATTGGAGCCGCTCCGTCATAGTCCCAATTTTCAAGGGAGGCTCACGATCGGAATGCGGCAACCATAGAGGAATCAGTCTGACCTCCATCGTCTCCAAATTGCTTGCCTCTGTCATCCTTTACAGACTGACTGACACTCGTGAAAGCCAGATTCGTGAAGAGCACGCTGGATTTCGTCGAGGTCGTGGCTGCATTGACCACATCTTCACTTTGCGTCAGTTGTTGGAGCACCGTCACACATATTGGCGGCCCACCGTTGTCGTGTTCCTCGATATCAAAGGTGCATGCGATTCTGTGGATAGACATGCACTTTGGGACTGTCTACTCAGGAAAGGTGTACCTGAGAAATATATGAATATTATCCGAGCATTATATGCGCGTAGCTCGGGCAGAGTGAGGGCTTAAGGCAAGCTGTCGTCGCCCTTTAATATCTCCAGCGGCGTGAGACCGACTCCTTGACTTAGAGTATGCTGATGATATTGCCCTAATCTGTGACGGCTCATAAACGTGTCAAGCGGCACTGGACAGATTAGCAATAGCTGTCCACTTCGGGCTTTGCTTCGCACCCTCGAAGTGCAAAGCGTTCCTCCAAGATTGGTCTGGACCGCCTCCTACGCTGACCATTGGTGGGGATCAGCTAGAAGTCGTTCGGAAATTCAACTACCTGGGAAGTTGTATCAGCGCCGTTGGGTTCGAAGACCAGATCACGAACCGTATAGCAAAAGCTCGAAGTGCTTTTGCTAACCTTCGCCACCTATGGCGGTGGCGCGATATTACTCTCGCTCTGAAGGATAGAGTGTACCATGCAGCGGTAAGTTCGACCTTACTGTACGGTTGAGAAACCTGGCCCCTAAGATCGGCGGACATGAAGAGGCTAGTTACGTTCGACCATCGGTGACTTCGCAATTTAGCTCACATCTGGTGGGAATACCGCGTGAGCAACGAGCGTGTTCGACGCCTTGTTTACGGCACAGGAAAAGGAAATGAACCGCTCAGCGCCGTTATTTCACGCACCAGGCTCCGATGGCTGGGCCGCGTGTTACGCATGCCAGCCCACCGACTCCCGCGACGTGCGTTGTTTGCGCGCCGGGGGTGTGGATGGAAGAAGAGGAGAGGTGACCTAGCGATGACTTGGTCGAGAGGAATGAAGGCCTCTCACTTCTGAGCTGGCGTCGGTTGGAGCGTCTCCGCTCCTTGGTTGGGGTCCGAAAGACGATGAACACGTTTGGTTGGACACACTTGCTGATATGGCTAGGAGCCGACCTCAGTGGCGTTCGTGCTGTGAGTTCCTTTGTCCCACCCCATCCCTCTTAGCCTCCCCCTCCAACCACGATCTCATTACTTAGCCTTATATAATTTTGCATAGTAATTTTTTTGATGCACAGTAGCCGGCTGTTAGCTTACCGGAACGATGCCCATCCGTTACCGGTAGCTCAGCCGGCTTGCATCAGTTGCATTCTTTTTCTCTCTCCTTTTTTCTGTGTATGTATTGCGGCAAAGTAGCTGAGGTGTTCCCCACCTCTAGCTAACGTGTATGATGATGATGATGTCTGTGACATTTTAAGTGGCATTGGGGACAAGGTTCCCCGTTCCCTTTGGAGTTGAAGTATCTGTTCGGTTCCAACCGGTTCATCTCGGATCTCTAGCTACCTTACTTGAACAACTATGATCCTCGCATCGGGGCGCAGTGAACCTAGTTGCCATGACACGCCACAATAATAATTATAATAATACAAGAGAGACAGGTAAAGACTATGCTTTATCCGAGCTCGGCGAAACACAAGCACATCTAGACCTTTAAACCACCCAGTTAGCAACAAAGGTAAAGATTAGTTTCGTCAAACGAAGTAGGTAAGGAATTCGCGACGGTACCATATCCTGTAACAGGGAATCCAACGACTTCCACCTAGATAGATGGCAGGCATCTGCCTGGCTCATCGTTTCAGTGAGCTCCTTCAGATTAATTTACCATGCCGTTCATTTCGGTGTTTCTTCAGACTAGACACGATATTTGCAAACGGTGCACACCGAAGCAGCCGAGTTGCACAGAGACGGGACGCTTAACTGAGCCAGCTCAAATGTTTCAACTTCAACAGACACTTACGCCGCGACACCACACACTGTGTTGGCAAACAGCGGAGCTCCATCGAACGGTGGGTGCTGGTCTCACAAGATATGAGCAATGTTACGTAAACGCCAACTAATCTTTTTTGTCGCACGTGAACTAGGTCCACAACGCTGTATGCTCCCTCGTGAACCTAACCAATGAGCATGTCGTAGCCTCTGCAGTGAGTCGGTCACCAGAAGTGGTCGGGCTGTAAACACATGAGCGAACGGAGTGATCATTCCTAATTGTCGTTTGGTAAGTGTGAAAGACGTTGACCTACTCCACCACAGCACGAAATGTGATCAGGGTGAGTTCGACACACGGCAGTCTTTTCGGGTTCAAGTGCACTATGAATCGAGTGCTGATGTGCCCGACATGTCAGGTTTCCCCTACCTGCACCACACTCGTAACAAACTAGCAGTGAAACGAGTAGAGGAAAGAAAGATAAGAAACTTCAGGACATCCACTGTGGCCAGATAGACTCCGCATATCCAGAGAAGCGCTAGAAGACCATTTCGTCCCATTCGAATTCGTTAGCAATGCGCATCCCCGAGATGCCACTGCATTTTAACCGACGACTATTGTGAGGGGGCGATTAGGACACTGAGTCATCGGTGAGGGCACAGAGCCGCTATGGCTGGTTACTAGAATAACTAGTGGCTGGCTGGTTGGATCAGATAGCGACCTAGACGGGTTTCAGTGTCGCACGTCCCAACACTGACACTCCATGACCGGTTTCATCCTCGTTTAGATTCATCAGGTTGAACTGGAACTAAGAGCCAAAGTGTTAACGGCTGACGCCCTGGTCACCAGGGCACTGAGATCTGTGACCAATGTTTTGGATTTGGAATACCTACCGTGTGGTTAGATTGCGACACACTATAGTAAGAGTTAGGTTTACATCGAAGTAGACCTAGGTCATGCCAGATCACCAGGAGAGTATGCGAACTGGAGAGATTACAGTGTTCTTCCGCCCACTAATGACACCGTGACCGGTCTCGTCCACATTTGGACTCATCAAGCAGGATAGCTTTGGCTGGGAATGAAACTCAAATGGGCACGTATTTTATAGTTATTCAAAATCAGTCACTACTTCCTAATAAAAACCTTGTCGGAATATTGCAAAATGGAAGCAGAATGCAAGCGTGTGGCGATGGACCTCTGACTTAGCGATTGCGTTATTCTGTTTCCGTCTACCAATATGACTGGTTTCGAGATGGGTGGATTGCGCTGCATCACCCACAGCTCCATCCACAAACCCCATATCCAGTGTAAACCCGAAGGAATAAGACCGGGAGGCATGTGAATGGGAGCCACGTTTCGTCAATGGAGCCGGCTCACACTTTTTCACAGGCAAACACAAGCACGCTGTATTTGAGGAATCAAGCGCACACAAGGCGGTGGCTGGACCGTAGTCCGCTCCACACTGACTGCATGGAACCACTCTTTGAGCCTAGCACAGCCACGAGGACCGTGCACCCCTTTACCCCAGCAACGATGCGGTGCCCTGGAGCCAGCAATCCAGGTGTAGGGTAATAAACAGGTAGGCATCCTGTAAAAATTCACACCAAGCGCAGGCACACCGGGGACGTCAAACAATCAATACAGAATTCGAAGGAAGATGCAGTAGAAAAACATAACTGAGCAAATCAAGTAAGGAGGAATACTGCCTTCGCTGACCCGTTCAATGATCGTTTATCAGTACTCGTGCTCCTGTGGTGCACGATAAGTGGGTCGTACTATGAGGCGCTTATCTCAGAGCATACGTGCGCACGTCCAGGCATGGTTTTACAAGGGCGCAATGAGGTTCTCCGACAGCTGAAGCATGTCGCACCTCCTTGAATGTGTCCATTGGTCAATGGTAGCTTGCGGATAAAAAAAAGCCGGAGCTTGACATGTCTCGCCGGATGATGGGTTAAGGGTGAGCAAAGTAAAGGCAAAAATGACAATAGGAAATAGTGAACAACTGCAAATTGCGAATTTGCCGATTACAGCGTTCCCGTCCGTTTTATATACGATCTAAGGTTATCGTCTGTGGTTTCCGTGCAAAAATGGAGGTGGGTTTGTTTTGTTTGTTTTTCCACTGTTTGTTTGGGTCGTTTGGATTACGTGATATGGTGTAGTGTGGCCAGTACACTTTCGACACGTGCTTTGAACCCGCCTAACGTGGGGGTTGAAATAACAGCTTCTGAGAGGATATTCAACGTATAGCAAACACGCAGCGCGGAGTTTCTTCGACACTCCAACCGACTGTATTGTTCTGCCAATTTGAGATGATGACCTTTCGGTTGCCTGTTGTGACTCAGCTACAATAGTTGACGGCAGGGGTGAAGAGTGTTATTTAATATTTGGTAAACCATGATTAGGTCACCATGCAAACGGCGATAACATCCGGTGAAAATGCCAAGCGTTCTGAGGCGCTGTTCGTATGACAAGTGGCGCAGCCCCTTGACATTTTTGGTCGCCCGACGTTATATAAGCTCCAAGACCGGAAGATTCCGCTTTAGCCATGGGTGCCGTGCTTGAATTGCATATCAAACATGTGGAAAATATTTGGCGGAAGATCGATGGTTCGAATTGCCGGAAAACTCTCCGTAAAAGCCCCACGATTTGGATCCCCTTCTTCGATGCCCTTTCGGACTGGTCCAAGCAGCCAAGATCTTCCTGGACCAGCACACCGAGATCCTTCTCGAAAGAACAATGCTGCAGACCCTGGTCCGAGAATGACTTTAAAGTCATCTACTTACTGCCTGAACACTTCTTCTATGGATTCCGCAAACGGCTCTTATCCATCGCCGAGGCTATCTACATCCACCGTCTGAAGGCAAAATTATGTGTACAGAAACGATTCATATTACTAACTTGGCCAACTGACACCGTTACTTACTCATTTGATTGTTATCTTACCTACTTAATTACTTCGGACTACTGAGCTTTGTGTATGCATGTTCACTTGGTTTACCATCTGTATCCTTGTCACAAATTATCGATTTTGATCGTTCAAACAGCCCGGAAGTCAATCCCAGCCCGAGTTGACGCTTTCCCCACAATCAGTGCAATGCAAACGTTTGGGTCTGATGAGAGAAGAAGAGAGAACAATTCTTTACACTGTAGTGATTTCGAACACTTTCTATGCAGGTTAAGAAGATTATATATAGTTGGCGGCATCCGGTTCCGGATTTGCCTGTCACTGTGGCAAGCCACAGGACGCCTGCGCCTACAGAGGGACCATCGGTGGCTTGCGCTGCACCACCCACAGCTCCATCCACAAACCCCATATCCAGTGTAAACCCAAAGGAATAAGACCGTGAGGATTGGAGTCATGTTTCATCAACGGAGCCGGCCCACACTCCTTCACAGGCAAACACAAGCACGCTGTATTTGGGAATCAAGCGCACACAAGGCGGTGGTTGGACGATAGTCCGCTCCACACTGAGTGCATGGAATCACTCATTGATCCTAACACGGCTACAAGGACCGTGTACCCCGTCCTCTCCGGCAAACGACCAACTGTCTCCTGGAGTCAGTATGGACGAGGTAGTGGGTAATAGACAGGTAGGCACCTTGTCAATATGCACATCAAGCGCAGCCACACCGGGATATCAATCAACAGCCAATCACTTGAGAGAAAGCTAACAAAGTAAAGAAATCGAGTAATGCATAAGGAAACGTCACAAAAATCTTAGATTAATGAGCATGTAAAATAAATTGTTAACAAAGCATCCGAGATAAGTTCAGGGGGTCAGAAAGTATATTTTACGGAAATGACACAAACGCGAAGATGTTATCGAAATCAACTACAACTGGCTTAAGCGAGTTGTGCAGGTTTATAGAAGAGCGTACAGGTGGACATTTATTTGACAAAGAAAAGCATTAGGACAAAACTGAAAATCCACCACCTGAAATAGAGACTTAGCATACAAGCACGCGGTTAGTAAATCGAATGCAGCGTACCTACAAACGCTGCGCCGGTTCTGCCTACGTGCTCTGCAGGACCCGTCGTCGCTTCGGTAGTGGTCCCGAATGGCCTCGCTCATGGCTCACTAAGCCTGCCTGACTCAGGCACTCGCGACCGCATGTGCTACAGCACCATGCGCTTGATGTCGATGGAGAAAAACCCATCGGTGTTTGCCGCTTCCGCACTTGCCGCTTCTTCTCTGCATGCATGAGGGCTTTCTTCTGCACCTCGGCAACTGCCTTCGTGATCAGATCGCACCATGCATGCCGATCAACCGCGTTCGATTCCCATGATCTGCAATCAAGCGTAGAACGTCCGAGGCTCACTGTAATCATGTTCTGGTAACGTAACTGTGGTTTCCCCACGTGCCGCTTCCCGACACTCAGTCGACCACATAAGAATTGTTTCGGTATCCACGTTGAATCTATACGGCTCACATGACCGAGCCACCTCAGATGTCTCAGCAAAAGTATGCAGTCCACTGCATACATCTCACTTTGTCGCAACACTTCTGTGTCTGCAACTCTGTCGCCCCGACCGACGCGTAAAATCAGTCGCAAGCACTGCTGATGGAACCGCTCGAGATATCGCACATCCCGACGGTACATCGTCCACGTTTCACTGCCGTATAGAAGAACGGACAGCACCATAGATTTGTACACCATCAGCTTCGTACCAATGGTAAGCTGATGGTTGTTCCACACTCGGTACTCAAGCTTCCCGAATGCCGCTGCTGCATTCGACACGGGAATACGCAACTCAATGTGTATCAGCTGATCAGTCGACATAACACTCCCAAGGTAGCAGAAGCGGGAGGTGGTTTCCAATACTTCAGCACCAATGCTGATTTGCGGCAATATTGAAGATTGCACCTCTGGTGAAGGCTGAAAGAGACAGACAGTTTTGCTTGCGTTGATGGTGAGCCCGAATTTGGCCGCTGTCGAAGCCAGAGCACTAGTCATGTGCTGCAACTCATTCGCGCTGTGTGCAAACAACGCACAGTCGTCAGCAAACAGCAACATACGGATAGTTGTCTCACAGACTAGAGTTGTCGCACCGAAACGACGGATGTTCAGCAACCCACTATCAATACGGTGCTCCACACGAACATCGTAAGCACAAGCCGCATCAAAAGCACAAGACAACATTGCATGAAGAAGTCATCCGAGGTCTCTACACTCAGCTGCACCCTCGCTCGCAAACCACTGTGCAGACATTCAATTTAACTTATAAACTTACGCGGGCAACCAAACTTGCCCAACACCAGCCACAATGCCTCGCGGTTCACCTTGGTGAAATCAACAAAAAGCGAGTACAATGGCTGGTGTCGTTCTCTGCACTTCTCTTGCAACTGACGAGCCGCAAACACCATATCTATAGTGCTGCGACCCGAACGGAATCCACATTGCTCTTCCGCCACGTTTGGTTCCACAATCTGACTGACGAGGCGGTTGAGCAGGATTCGGGCAATCACCTTACTCACACAACTCAGCAAGTTGATGCCATGATAATTCATGCAACATTGCTTGCTCCCTTTGCCCTTGTACAGTGGTAGCACAAGGGCATCCTTCAGCTCAGGAGGCACCTTCTCGTCAATCCATACGCGTTGCACCAAGTGGTGCAGCGCAGTCAACAACGCGGGTCCGCCGTGTTTCAATACTTCAGGTGGGATCCCGTCGGCTCCAGCACATTTGCCGTTTCGCAGCTGAGCAAGTGCTCTCCGCGTCTTATCCCGTGTCGGCGCGTCCGCCGGACTCGCGTTTACATCGTGCTGCTTCAGGCAGTTCACTGTACGCCAGTCGATCTCTGAACGGTTGTTCAAGAGACAGTCAAAGTGTTTTGTCAGATCTGCATTATGTCTGCAGTCTGGGTGCAGGTAGCGCCGGAACTATCATCGATCAGCGTCCTCAGCGGCTCCAATCACGGTCCATATACCGCCTTCAAGGTGTCAAAGAATTCCTTATGTTGGCGGCGTTCGGCATAGCATTCCATCTCCTTCGCATTCTCCGTCCACTATGCATTTTTAATGCGACGGAGCTCTCGGGTCAGTCGCCGTCGAAGTTTGCGAAACTGACTCTTCTTCCCCAAGTCACTGGTGTCTGCGACATGTGCAGCAAATGCTGCATTCTTCTCCGACACTTAGGCGCCAATCGTCGCAATGTTATCATCGAACCAATCAGGCCGCCTACAGTTTGTGCGCCCGATGGTCTCCTCGGCAGCAGCTGTCACCTGGTCGCGAATGTGGTGCCACAGGTCGCCCACTGTGGCTATGCCTTCCACATCACACTGGCGTGCAGCAATCGCCTTCTCCAGCTCAGTACGTTTCTCCAAAGTACTGTGGGAGAGAATGTTAAATTTACGCCGATTCACGGCCGTAGTGCATTACAGATTTCGGAAAATGCAGTTTGGTCCGAACCAATTTGTGATCAGTGCCACACTCAGCTCCACGCAGTATACGTGTCATGCGCACTTCACGCACATCATGCTGACGTACGATGACATAGTCGAGCAGGTGAGCGTGACCATTCCATGCGTGCGTCCAAGTTGCTATTTCACTCGCACTCAGTGCAAACCGAGTGTTCGTGATCGTCAGGCCGTGAGTGGCACACAGTGATATCAGCCTGTCACCGTTCGCATTCGCTGAACCAATGCCATGTGAACCGATAACATCTGTCCACACCGATGCATCACGCCCAACGCGTGCGCTGAAATCACCCAGCAGATATAGTCGGTCGCTCCTCGGCACAGATCGTACCACGGAGGATAGCTGAACAGAATTGACCACGCGTGTCATCAGGATAACACATGGTCGGACCGTATATGCTTATAAACGTGGCAAACTTACCTCTTCCGAGTCGTAGGCGAACAGTCATCAGTCGCGCGCTGATGCCTGTTGCTTCACTCACCAGCCGGCCATGGAGGCGATCGGATATTGCAACTCCGACCCCATGATCACGTGGTGCTGAGGCGGCGTTGCCCACCCAGTAGGATGTGTAGCCAACATCTGCTTCATGCAACTTACCTTGCTCAGCGAGCCGAGTTTCACTGAGCGCCGCAATATCGATGTTGTAGCGCGTCAGTTCCATCGCGACCAGTGCAGTGCGTCGCTCCGAGCGCTCGCTGGATTTCCGGTCCAGTAGTGTGCGCACGTTCCAGCACCCGATGCTGAGTGCTTTGCGTGCAGGCATACGATTGCATTGGTGGGCAATCGCACGCGAGATGGTCGTTGTGCTTTGGAGGTTTGCTTGAGGGACTCCACTCTTAGCCCTTAACACAACAGCCTGACCCACAAGGCAGTGGGGTGCAGATCCAGCTCGGGAATGTGACTGCAGAGACAGATTGGCATCTGCTTGACGGCCGTCACACGCAGCCTTGGAGGTACTGGAACGGTTTATATGTTTTGCGACCGTAGTTGGATACACCTGCGACCACGGCCAGACGCAGGTGGGTTTTGACGGGTTTGCACCAATTTGACCAGGGGTTGCCTGGCTTGAGGCGGGCAGTAGCAAACCATTGAACACCCGGAGGTGCCCTCTCACTGTCAGAGCCAATGAGTGGCGCTCGTGCTCTACGCCAATCGAGCTGTGAGCTTATAACCCGTTGACCTGTTGTCTCCCATGGCTAGATTTTACGGGAAGTGGGCCATCGACCACTTCCTAACCACCGAAGAGGATGGACTAGGATACTGGCAGGGCGCCCACTCCTGACAGGAGAACGACTCGGGTCCTCAGCCAAAGCCTTCGATTAAATGAACACCCGAAAGGCAGCGGGTCTAGCACATGGTCAGTTCACTGACTCATGCGGATTGGTGTCCTGGATCTTTGCAGGGAGAAGGGCGAAACCCAACTCCCGCCCAGCGGTCGTCACGAGGAGGCGCCCACGACATGAGCAAATGGCACAACAGTACCAGCAGTGAGTAGACCATCTGTCAGGATCTAGCCACCACCAGCCTCAGCGCACCATAGGCTCTCCCGCCATATATATAATACTGAATACTGTATTATAGAGCAAGTAGAAATGGATTCTGTACAACTCTTTCGAGATATGGCGAAAAACGTTATAAAAGTTGTCAACCTTGATTATCATTGTCATTCTCATGTAATATTTAAAATATTC